AATTCCTACTTATCACTCAGACTCCACAGACCCTTGTACACTGCGGTGCTTATTTTAGGTGTCCAGGGAACAACCCTGGACAGAAAGGAACACAGTGAGTCCCTGGCCAAATCATCAGTGACCAGAGGGGCATGAGTTGAAGATTGATACATGACAGAGATGGGAGGTATCAGAGCGAGATAGAAAAGGAATTTGAAGATAAAAGTGGAGGAGAAGTGTTCTGGGGCAGTATCAGGATGAGGAGAGGTGAGTTCAGTTGGTTAGGAGTTTTGAATAGAATTCTGAGGTCAAATTCAGGAGTAGGTAGTGTGGACAAACTGTAGAGTCTGTGGGTCTGTGGCAGCTGCCTTTGGACTGGATAGGTAAACATGATCATGGGGGGTGGTGTGGATTATTGTTCTGAAGCCAGTTAGAGGGAGGAAAGGATTGAGGGCTAGTCTGATTAATTTGTTGTCATCTTCCTTACCTCACTAGGTTCTCAGCTCCTGAGAATCCTTATTAATGAACCTGAGGAAAAGGTTACCATCTGGGCCTGCTAGTGAAGGGCCTTCCAGAAGTATGACAGTAATTGGGTGGGTGTGCATTTGGGGTCGTTCTGCTAGGAAAAAAGACCCATGAGCTGGCTAGGGCCATGAGCTGGTTATTTGAATCAGAGTTCCCATACCTTGGGTACTTTGAGATGACAGTGATGACATCTCCTTGACATGACATGCGAGCTCTCCGAGTCTCCACAAGACTTACTGCCTCATCTCTCATCACTTTGAGCTTTCTGCTCTAATGATAACAAACTGCTATGGCCATTCTGGCATACACCAAGGCTGTTTTTTGCCCCATTAGCTGTGCTCATGCTGTTTCCCCTGCCTGGTACACTACACATGCATGTGCTCACATATACACTCACAATCATCTGTCTTTATCTAGCTGATATCTGCTTAGGAATCACCTTGTCCAAGAAGCTTTCCCTGGCCCCCAAGACAGTTAGGTGCCTCCTCTTGTGCCCTGCTAATCCCCACTTCCCACCATCCCAGCATTTATCACTCTACTGTTGTCAGTGTGTCTGTTTCCCACACTAGACTAGGAGCTCCTCAAGGGTAAGAACTATTGATTCACCTCAGTGTCCTCATGCCTGTTGAGCTGAGCTCTCATGACCCCCACTGTCCACACCCTCCATGCTCATTCCCACCTCCTTCATTCTTCTGTCCATCAGTTGACACTCACCAAGCACCTATTCCTCTGGCTAGTGCTGGGGCTCGGATGAATGACAAGATCCCTGCTCAGGGAGCTCCTCGTCAAATGGACTTCTACCATGCAGAGTAACATGTGCTATAGCAGAGGGAAGCACAGAGGAAAATGAAGGGGCTGTATCTAAGCTGAGTCCTGAAGAATGAGAAGTTAGTTAGGTGAAGAGTTTTGCTCAATTCTAGCCTTAAAGTCTCCCCTCTCCACCAACTTCTGGAAGCCTCCTCCTGCTCTCTTCCCCTGCCACTCTCTCCCCACTGCATTCCTGCACGGCCTCTGGTTTGCTCTACCTGGGTTAGAAATGTTATAGTGTTCGGTCACTGTTCCAACTGAGAGCGAGACAAGGGGACATAAGGGATAGAGCCCTGGCTTATGCCCATCTCTGAGTCTAGGTTTTACTATCTGTAAATTACAAATAACTCCTGCCTTGCCCTACGCTACTCACAAGGTTTTAAAATTGTATTTTTGAACTGTTACAGACTATGCACATGTGAGGGATTGCAACTCTGATTAGTGTGTCTTTTCCACGATTAGATCTGGTCTCCCTTTGTCCCTGGCTCTCAACAGAAGACCTGGAACAAAATCAGTGTTCGTTAAAGACCTGTTTTATTGACTGGCCCTGAATGATGAGGAAAAAGGTTTCCCTAAAGGCCCTGGGTGTAAGGAAGCTGGGACTAAAGTGAGCTAGGAATATAAGGAAAAGGGAATGAACATGTCTCCCACATGCCAATCATTTCACATACTTTCATGCATTTAATTCTTATTACCACCCTTTGAAGTAGGTAATATTCACCCCATTCTACGGATGAAGAAATAGAGGGTGAGAGAGATTGTGACCTTGACTAAGGTCACACAGCTAGTAGCTGACAGAGACTATATTCAAATCCAGGCTATATGACTCCTGGGCCTCTTCCCACTGCCCACCTATACAACATGACATGTCCTCCCCTTGGTGCCTCTGCCCTCCTGTGCCCCTCAGAAAGGGGCTTCTTGTTCCTTCCCTAGATCTGAATGCGAATGGGTCTGCCAAAGCCTGGGATTTGTGCCCCTGGCCTTGACCTATGTCCTCAACTTCATCCAAACTGATAGTTAAAGCCTATTTACTTCTTTACCTGTTTGCCTCTTTCCTAGGCAAGCAACACACTTCCTCCACCTCCCCAAACATTGTCATTTATGATAAGCCAGTCAAAGGCCAGAGAGTCAATTTTTATAATATTCATTAAGAAAAACATGCTGGAGGGTCTCTGAAGCTGACTGGGTTTCTATGGCTTACAGATAATGAACCAGCAGCCACCTCCTTCTTTATCACATGGCCACAGTTAGGATGCACTTCTGCTGCTGGCCTTTTTCAGGTTAGGAAATGAGCCACAGAGAGGCTGTCAACCAGAGGAGGCCTGGGAGGAGCTGGGAGTGCCTTCAAGCTGAGATGGCAGGGGAAAAAGAACCTTGTTTGTACCTGGGGGCTTTAGCCCTCTCTGTGGACGTTGGGCTAATAGGGAGAAGGAGGGAGGGGAAAGAGAGCCCCTTCTTTGTGGGAAAAGACGATAAAAGGAGAATGGGTTGAAGAGGAGGTGAGAGGAGCAAGATGAAAGTAGAGAAAAAACAACTGTCACTCCAACAGGCAACTTTGTACAGCAGTTTATCCACGTCTCACTCAATTCTCCCAATTGCTCTCGACAGAAAGGCACTGTGGCTCTTCCTACTTGACAGCTGAGGAGTCTGAGACTCAGAGAGGCTAAGGGATTCAGAGAAATAAAGTGACTTGCCCAGTTTCAGACACAGCGGTAGTCAGATAAAAGCAGAGGGGTCCAGGGGTGCCTGGGTGGCTCAGTCAGTTAAGCGTGGACCCTGGGATCGAGCCCTGAGTCGGGGCTCCCTGCTTAGTAGGGAGTCTGCTTCTCCCACTCCAGAGAAGCTCCCTCTACCCCTCTCCCTGTTCAAGCATGCGCGCTCTCTCTCTCTAATAAATAAAATCTTAAAAAAAAAAAACCAAAAAAAAAAAAAACCAGAGGGGGCCAAAAAGACTTGTAAAGAAGAGAAAGATATGGTCAAGGAAGGAAGGAAATTGAAAGGGAGAAAGGAAAAAAAAAAAAAGAAAGGGGGGAAGAGAAGTGGCAGACAGGGCTGTGTATGGCCTTGGAGCCAGTCAAACCCAGATCTAAACCCAATTTCCACGAATAGCCATGTGACCTTGTGTAAGTTATGTAATCTCTTGAAGCCATTTTCTCATTTATAAATTGAAGATGATTATATTTACCCACAGGCTATTGTGAGGATTAAGTAAGATAGTATTTCCCAAGCTCCTGGCATAGTGTCTGACGTTTAGTAGGTGCTCAACAAAAAGAATCCCAAGGAGAAAGTGTGAGGAACATAAGGGAAAGGAAGGAGTGACATGAAAAAAAAGGGAAGAGAGAAGCTTTTGAGGAGAAAAAAAGATGGGCCTGGAAGGAAAAGAAGGAGGAAGATAGATGGACAAAAGAGGAAGAAGGCTGGGGCAGGGGCATGTGGAGAAGGACTGGCCTCCAACTGGCCAAATTCCACAGTTAGGAAGCAGCCACTTTGCCTGAATCAGGAGGGCCTCTCTTATGTCTCCCAGGACACCCAAGTTCTGTTCATTGTCACAGAAAGTGTCGTTAAGGATCTGAAGGTACAGAACAGACAAGAATATCTCACACTTCAGGTGCAGTCCTGCAGGTGCCTTTTGTTGGGTTTATGGGGGGAGGGAGAGATACAGGGGAATTCCAGGGGGATTGGGGAGGAGGAACCTCAGGGAGTGGAGATTAGCCAGTGTGTCTGGGGTGGAAAGGGCAAATGAAGCTTTGCTTGTTCATTGTGGATCTTGGGGTGCCTTCCAGATCCTAGACTAGAGCTGGGTAGGCTGAGGTGAGTGGAAGGCAGGGGAATAGAGGAGAAAAACCCTAGTCAAAGAGGTCAGAGCCTGAACTTCTCACACTGGTTCCTCTATTTATCTTGGGCAAGTCAGTTTATTTCTCTAAGCCACAGTGTCTGCATTAGTGAAATGGAGAGGGTCTGCCCAGACATTCCTTCTCCCGGGGGTGACTTGAGGATCAGATGATGTAATGGATGTGATGAATGTATTGGAAAACTGTGAAGTGCTATGTACAAATATTGAAGTATTCAGTCTTTCAGAAAATGCCTAATGACCCCCACTCTGTATCAGGCACAGCACTATACACTTTATCTACATTATCTTGTTTAATGAGGTAGGTAAAATTATCCCTATTTATAAGCCAGAGAATTGAGTCATAAAGAGAATTAGGTGACTTGCTGGGGTAACACAGCTGGCCAATGGTAGAACCAGGATCTGTCTGACTCTACAACCAGTGCAGGTAATCCCTGACCTGTACCATCTGTTTATTTATTTATTTTTAATTATTTTTAAAATTTTTTTAATTTTTAAAGGTTTTATTTATATATTTGAGAGAGAGTGAACGAGAGGGAGAGAGCATGAGCAGGGGAGGGGCAGAAGGAGAGGGGGAGGAGATTCCCCACTGAGTAGGGAGCCCAGGGCCGGGCTCAATCCCAGGACCCCAGGACCACAACCTGAGCTGAAGCAAACGCTTGCCTGACTGAGCCACCCCAGGCACCCCTGTACCATCTCTTTAGAGCCGAATCCTCTGCCATGGAATTAGGCCTCCTTGCTTCACTCCTTTGCACTGGCTATACTAATCCAGAGTGGTCTGGCCAGGGGCATAAAAAGGAAAGGATAATCCTTACTGTTACCTCTCTTCTCTTCTTAGGGTTTGACTTCTTTGAAGCCAGCGCCAAGGAGAACATCAGTGTGAGGCAGGCCTTCGAGCGGCTGGTAGATGCCATTTGTGACAAGATGTCTGATTCGCTGGATACGGACCCCTCCATGTTGGGCACCTCCAAGAACACCCGTCTCTCGGACACCCCACCGCTGCTGCAGCAGAACTGCTCGTGTTAGGCAAGGCCCACCCTCCTGATCTCCCCTTCTTGTGACCCCAGACCCACTCTGCTTTCCCCATTACACTCTGTCCACCCCCAGCCCCAAGCAGGCTGCGTTGCCACTGACCTTTGCCTGCAATGGAGGCGGAAGCATGCCCCTTGAGTTCTCTGCAGATGGTCCTGCTAGTAGACACCCAGTCCTAGACTAACAGCCGGGTCACAGCATGGGTAGAGATTCACTTTACAAAAAAAGACTCCATCTTACAAAGGGTATTCACTTCAGGGACTTGGAAAGCGAGTCTCTTTTCTGCCTTTAAAATAAGATTTCCTCCATTTACCAAAATTTGACATACGCACACTTTTTAGGGCCTGGCCAGCTGGGTAAGTGCGGCCCACCTGCACAGCTAATCCTGTTAAAGAAAACGTCCTCATACACAGCATGCTTGTTTCATATCAGGCTCCCTGTGGGGCTTCCTCTCACTGCAAGCCAAGCTTTGACTCTCAAAGCCCTCTGCCTGTTACCACGGATGCCCACAGGGCCTGGGGCAGTTGCTGTGGTGACAGGCCAGAGCTAATCTCCAGAGAGCTCAGACTCTCTAATGATGCTGAAGGAGCAAAGGCTGAGTCAGAAATATACTTAAAGAAAAGATTATTCCCTGCAAAATGTCAAAGGTCCCTGCTATATAAAAGAGCAGGAGAGTGAGCTCAAGAAAGATAACGAGAAATAAAAGAGAAACATAGGCAAGATAAAGGAGCAGGTCATGACTTTCTGATTTTGCTGCTTTCCAGCTGGTTCTTAACTGTGGGAACTCCATGAAATTGGTCTTTGTTTTTTAGACTCCCAGAATTTGAAATATTTAGAGTTACCTAGTCTGACTAGTCAATTTCAATCTTCACATCTCTGATAAGTGGCTGCCAGGCCTCACAACCAAATCTCTTTCTTCTTCTTCTTCCTTTTTTTAAAGGATGTTATTTATTTATTTATTTAGATAGAAAGAGCAAGCAGTGGGGGGGTGGGAGGGGCAGATGGAGAGGGAGAGAGAGACTCTCCAGCAGACTCCCTGCTGAGCACAGAGCCTAACTTGGGGCTGTAGCTCACAACCCTAAGATCATGACCTGAGCCAAAATCAAGAGTCAGATGCATAACTGACTGAGCCACCCAGGTGCCCCCCCCACCAAACCTCTTTCTTCTAAAACACACCTTCTAGGCAGGGCTGGGAGCTCATTGTCCATACCACCTTTGGACAGCTCTCATAATCAGAAAGTTTTCCTTGCTTTAAGCTGAAATTTGTCCCCTGGAAATTCCTCTTCCTCTTCTCACCCCATTTATCCCAGCTCTGCTGTCAGAGACCTCACAGTCCACGCTCCTTCTGCCCCTTGAAACCTTCAGATGATTTGAGAACAGAAATCATGACCTCTGCCCTTTCTCTAAATCAAGTAGTTCTGCCATTCTTCATAGTGTCTTCCCGCCATCCTGCCCTTTCTTCCAACCCATCTTTCAGTCACTCCTGAGTAGTCTGACTGGGAAATGTGATTCAAAGCAGAATAAATCTGAGGGAGCATGACCCTGACAAAATTGGGAAAACCGAACTCAGAGGTCCCAATCCCAGACTCATTCTCCTGGGAGTGAAATCTTAGTTTCTACTGAAGAGTAGATGTGAAACCACTCCTAGTGGAAACTGCTTAATTAAACACCTGAAGGGAAAATCTAAGCCAAAATCAAAACCACAAAAAACCCTCTGACACCAGAAACAAACTGAATGGATTCTAGCTTGTTTAGACATGGCAGATGTTTGGTTTTTAGCTGAAATAATGACATGGAACTAGCAGTGATTCCTGAAAATCTTTCCTCCCAGGCCTGACCCAAATCCCCAGCTTCCTCCTGCACTAACATGCCACCTCAGAAGTTGGTGGGGGAAGGGGGAGAGTCTCTTCCAAGTTTTTTCTCCATTTCAAATGCATCTCATTATCCTAGGAAAGTGCATTAACTTGCATAGGTCCAATGACTACATAAAAGGACCCTCCAGAGTCAGCCCGATGGAGATGTTGCTTTCTTTGATGCAATGCACAGGATAGAGCTTTGGACTTTGGAATCAGGAGTCCTGGACTCTGCCCTTAAATCAAGTGTGACTCTGGATCAGTCACTCCATCTCTGAGTCTTGTTTTCCCACCTATAAAATGAGGGGTTATTTGGGTAATCTTTTTTTTTTTTTTAAGATTTTATTTATGTATTTGACAGAGAGAGACACAGTGAGAGAGGGAACACAAGCAGGGGGAGTGGGAGAGGGAGAAGCAGGCTTCCCACAGAGCAGGGAGCCCAATGCGGGGCTCAATCCCAGGACCCTGGGATCATGACCTGAGCCAAAGGCAGACGCTTAACGACTGAGCCACCTAGGCGCCCCTATTTGGGTAATCTTTAAGGTCCCTTCTAGTGCTAGTAACTGTGACTCTTTTTTTCACCTTTATCATTTCAGTTTATCTGCAAAATAAAGTTAAGAGATAAGGATTATCACCCCAATGTCATTGTAGCTAACACTGATGTCATGCTTACTCTGTACTATATATGTATGATCTTATTTATCTTCTCAACATCTTTGTGAGGGAGGCACTATAATCAATCTCATTTAAAGATGAGGAAACTAAGGTACAACAAGATTCTCTAGCTTGCCTAGGGTCACATAATGAGTAAATAGTACAACTGGGGTTCAAACCCAGGCAGTAGGCTCCAAGGTTTACGCTCTTGACCACATTCTATACTACATTTTTAATAAATAAACTGTGACCCAAAAAGGTTAAGGACGTGACCAAGATGATACAGCTAGCGAGTATTAGAGCCCTGTTAGGATTCGATCCCAAGGCCATCAGATTCTAAGTCCACTGGAAAAAAGACTTATGTCTCTTCTCTGTTAACAAATTGCTCATCAATTCAGACTAATCCGAGGTGATGGATGTCTAATGCTTCTGGAAAGGAGTCAGGCTCTGAGGCAGCCAGGTCCCAAGAGACTGAGCAGAAATTGTCAGTGTTTCTCAGATTCAAGTCCCTGTCAGGTAATTCTTACCTAGCTTTCAATCAGTGCTTTAAGCAGCCTCCCAGCTCCAGCAATGGGGCATTTTGCAGGAGTGACTTGGTTAACTTCCTTGACCGCAGAAGAATGTGATCCCTTTTCAGGCAGTGGTTCTAGATGTGCTTTTTACACTGTCAAGTCAATATAGGTCATGCATAATTATTATTTTTCTGGGCAGTAACACCCATCCACCCTAGTAGTGGGATTTCAGACTGAGCTCCTCATGACCCATGGTTATTTTAGGACATATATCCAATAATCTTTTCTTTCATATTGGATATCTAGGCAAAGATTGAAATTTTTACTTAAAAATTATTAAATTCTTTAAAACTCAGGAGCCAGTGTAAGAGAGCAATTTTCTTTCTTTTTTTCTTTTTTTAAAGATTTTATTTATTTGACAGAGAGAGACACAGCGAGAGCAGGAAAACAAGCAGCGGGAGTGGGAGAAGCAGCTTCCCTCCAAGGAGGGAGCCCGATGCAGGGCTCGATCCCAGAACCCTGGGATCATGACCTGAGCCTAAGGCAAACGCTTAACGACTGAGCCACCCAGGCACCTAAGAGAGCAATTTTCTTGACAACAGATAGAATCAAGAGTTAAATGTAATAGGGGCTAACTCTTCTGCTGGGCAGCAGACAAGCAGAGGTGCTTGCTAGATGGCAGTTCCCCAGCCCTGCTCTGTGACCTTGTTTCTGCTGCATGGAAGGCAGCAGCTTCCAGCTGATTACAGTGTAATGTTCATCAGTCATGGTAATAGTGCAATTAGCCACCAAAGTTTAAGCTGCAGAATATGTTAGTGGCAACTTGTCCCAGTTTTCATCTTGCTTAACAATCCAAATAAAGATTTAAAAACAAAAAAACTCTTGACCCCAAAAGAGGCGAAAGTAGGCCAAATGTGCAATACAGTATTAGAGCTATTTACAGAATCTGTTTTAAATGCATGTGTACCTGTAAATACAAAGTGATTTGTGACTTACTATTGTCTCCTCAGTCTGTAGCATTAATTAACTCCTAGGAGCAGCAATGGGGTAGAGTGTACTGAATGGCCACAGACTTGTCAAATATTAGATTGGGAAGGGAGCTTAGAGAAAATCCTGTCTAGCTCCTCATTTTACAAAGAGGAAGGTTGAGGTCCAGGGAGAAAAAGGAAATTTCCTAGGGCCACTCTGAGAGTATATTAGTGATGGAGTCAGGACTCGGTCTTGGATCACCTCTACATAGAAATTTATTTGTTCCGTATCTACTGTGGGCTTGGTGCTGTTAAACACTAGATAAATATATATGTAAACAAATGATCCCTGCCTTCAAGGTACCTATAGTCTAATGGAGGTGCTGTTTCTAAAATATTACCCCAATTTGGCAGCCAAGGAAACATAGCCTTGGAAAAGTTATATGTTCAAATCACTCAGTAATATCATTTGAATTCACTTCTATCTGACTCATGCTCATTCCATTGTCTCTCAGATGAAGAGTATATGGGGTGGTGGTAGTGACAGGCTCCAGTGTCCCTGTTGATATTGTTTAATTAACTCTGAGAGTCCGTGGTCTCACAATTACTTTGTGACTGCAGCCTTGTAATGTCCACAGAATGATATAAATATCCGCCAGACCCAACTTTCCCATTCACATCACCTGCTCTTGCTCCAAAGCTCTTTGCTTGGGTATCAAGGTTCCTAGAGTGTCTTGAGGAATGTTTGTTGGAGTTTGTTTGCCAGTAGTTTTGGGGTAAGGAGAAGGAATTACAGTAACCAGTGTCCTGGGATCTCATTGATTTCAGATTCTGCATCTCTACTAAGTTATCCCTGATTACCTGCCACAGTTGGAGGATCAGCCTGTGCCTAGGATTGCATGCAATACACAGGCCCATGAGATACAAATACTGTTAAGTGATGTTTTTGAAGGCCTTCATCCTTTATATGAAGTAGGCAAAACTCAAATTTATTCATTCATATTTACTCATTCAATAAATGTCTAGTATGTGTCAGGGTATAATCAATGGCAAATTAAAACAAGCCTTGCCTTTATGAAG